ACCCGCTGTTTACTTCAGCCCCCTAATAAAGAACTCCCAATAGCTAAACCGCTGTTTACTTCAGCCCCCTAATAACGAACTCCCAATAGCTAACCCGCTGTTTACTTCAGCCCCCTAATAACGAACTCCCAATAGCCAACCCGCTGTTTATTTCAACCAACTAATAACGAACTCCCAATAGCTAACCCGCTGTTTATTTCAGCCCCCTAATAAAGAACTCCCAATAGCTAACCCGCTGTTTACTTCAGCCACCTAATGACGAACTCCTAATAGTTAACCCGCTGTTTACTTCAGCCCCCTAATAAAGAACTCCCAATAGCTAACCCGCTGTTTACTTCAGCCCCCTAATAAAGAACTCCCAATAGCTAACCCGCTGTTTACTTCAGCCCCCTAATAAAGAACTCCCAATAGCTAACCCGCTGTTTACTTCAGCCCCCTAATAAAGAACTCCCAATAGCTAACCCGCTGTTTACTTCAGCCCCCTAATAAAGAACTCCCAATAGCTAACCCGCTGTTTACTTCAGCCCCCTAATAAAGAACTCCCAATAGCTAACCCGCTGTTTACTTCAGCCCCCTAATAAAGAACTCCCAATAGCTAACCCGCTGTTTACTTCAGCCCCCTAATAAAGAACTCCCAATAGCTAACCCGCTGTTTACTTCAGCCCCCTAATAAAGAACTCCCAATAGCTAACCCGCTGTTTACTTCAGCCCCCTAATAAAGAACTCCCAATAGCTAACCCGCTGTTTACTTCAGCCCCCTAATAAAGAACTCCCAATAGCTAACCCGCTGTTTACTTCAGCCCCCTAATAAAGAACTCCCAATAGCTAACCCGCTGTTTACTTCAGCCCCCTAATAAAGAACTCCCAATAGCTAACCCGCTGTTTACTTCAGCCCCCTAATAAAGAACTCCCAATAGCTAACCCGCTGTTTACTTCAGCCCCCTAATAAAGAACTCCCAATAGCTAACCCGCTGTTTACTTCAGCCCCCTAATAAAGAACTCCCAATAGCTAACCCGCTGTTTACTTCAGCCCCCTAATAAAGAACTCCCAATAGCTAACCCGCTGTTTACTTCAGCCCCCTAATAAAGAACTCCCAATAGCTAACCCGCTGTTTACTTCAGCCCCCTAATAAAGAACTCCCAATAGCTAACCCGCTGTTTACTTCAGCCCCCTAATAAAGAACTCCCAATAGCTAACCCGCTGTTTACTTCAGCCCCCTAATAAAGAACTCCCAATAGCTAACCCGCTGTTTACTTCAGCCCCCTAATAAAGAACTCCCAATAGCTAACCCGCTGTTTACTTCAGCCCCCTAATAAAGAACTCCCAATAGCTAACCCGCTGTTTACTTCAGCCCCCTAATAAAGAACTCCCAATAGCTAACCCGCTGTTTACTTCAGCCCCCTAATAAAGAACTCCCAATAGCTAACCCGCTGTTTACTTCAGCCCCCTAATAAAGAACTCCCAATAGCTAAACCGCTGTTTACTTCAGCCCCCTAATAAAGAACTCCCAATAGCTAACCCGCTGTTTACTTCAGCCCCCTAATAACGAACTCCTTATAGCTAACCCGCTGTTTACTTCAGCCCCTAATAACGAACTCCTTATAGCTAACCCGCTGTTTACTTCAGCCCCCTAATTCAATTTGATATTTAACAGATTTGAATTACAAAGGTGTTGATCAATTTGTTTTCAAGTGTTGAAACAAATGTGCATCATCATTACAAATAGGAAATGATTGAGGGCCAGCTGGTCCGAGGGTTTATTTTAACACTGATGTAGAATGTGTTTGTTTTAAATGTGATGTGCTGCTGTATGTTACTACTTTTGTGTTTTATTATAGTGAGCGGCGTGTGTGAGTGCAACAGCGATGGAGCCGATGTGATTGAACTTAGTCCTGAGACCAATACACTGTTCAGTCATACCATCAAGTGTGATGACGAATCATCCTTGTAAGTTATCTAATTGTTTTCTCTTAGCACCGCTACTCTAGCTGAGAACGTAATGGTAAGTAATCGCATCGGCGGCGGCAATCAGAGACACAAACCAGTAATACGGGGAAGTGTGGACGACATTAATCAGGCATTAAGATAATCACAAGGCGCATGTATTGAAATTAGGTTTAAAAAATAAAACAGAAATACGGCATTTTCTGCAAAAGGTAGGTGTCTCTCAACACTCAGAGATCACACCATTCACTATTATTCGGTTTTCTTATCAATCGGCTATCAATCGTCTATAGTCTGGTCATCATTGCTGTGTAATCTCTGATATCGTCTGTAGTCGGGTCATCATTGCTGTGTAATCTGTTATAACGTCTATAGTCTTGTCATCATTGCTGTGTAATCTGTCATAACGTCTATAGTCTGGTCATCATTGCTGTGTAATCTGTCATAACGTATATAGTCTGGTCATCATTGCTGTGTAACCTGTCATAACGTCTATAGTCTGGTCATTATTGCTGTGTAATCTGTCATAACGTATATAGTCTGGTCATCATTGCTGTATAATCTGTCGTAACGTCTATAGTCTGGTCATCATTGATGTGTAATCTGTCATAACGTCTATTGTCTGGTCATCATTACTGTGGAATCTGTAATAACGTCTGTAGTCTTGTCATCATTACTGTGTAATCTGTCATAACGTCTATTGTCTGGTCATCATTGCTGTGTAATCTGTTATAACGTCTGTAGTCTTGTCATCATTACTGTGTATACTGTAATAACGTCTGTAGTCTTGTCATCATTGCTGTGTAATCTGTTATAACGTCTATAGTCTGGTCATCATTGCTGTGTAATCTCTGATATCGTCTGTAGTCGGGTCATCATTGCTGTGTAATCTGTGATATCGTCTTTAGTCTGGTCATCATTGCTGTGTAATCTGTCATAACGTCTGTAGTCTTGTCATCATTACTGTGTATTCTGTAATAACGTCTGTAGTCTTGTCATCATTACTGTGTATTCTGTAATAACGTCTGTAGTCTTGTCATCATTGCTGTGTAATCTGTTATAACGTCTATAGTCTGGTCATCATTACTGTGTAATCTGTCATAACGTCTATAGTCTGGTCATCATTGCTGTGTAATCTGTCATAACGTCTATAGTCTGGTCATCATTGCTGTGTAATCTGTCATAACGTCTATAGTCTGGTCATCATTGCTGTGTAATCTGTCATAACGTCTATAGTCTGGTCATCATTGCTGTGTAATCTGTCATAACGTCTATAGTCTGGTCATCATTGCTGTGTAATCTGTCATAACGTCTATAGTCTGGTCATCATTGCTGTGTAATCTGTCATAACGTCTATAGTCTGGTCATCATTGCTGTGTAATCTGTCATAACGTCTATAGTCTGGTCATCATTGCTGTGTAATCTGTCATAACGTCTATAGTCTGGTCATCATTGCTGTGTAATCTGTCATAACGTCTATAGTCTGGTCATCATTGCTGTGTAATCTGTCATAACGTCTATAGTCTGGTCATCATTGCTGTGTAATCTGTCATAACGTCTATAGTCTGGTCATCATTGCTGTGTAATCTGTCATAACGTCTATAGTCTGGTCATCATTGCTGTGTAATCTGTCATAACGTCTATAGTCTGGTCATCATTGCTGTGTAATCTGTCATAACGTCTATAGTCTGGTCATCATTGCTGTGTAATCTGTCATAACGTCTATAGTCTGGTCATCATTGCTGTGTAATCTGTCATAACGTCTATAGTCTGGTCATCATTGCTGTGTAATCTGTCATAACGTCTATAGTCTGGTCATCATTGCTGTGTAATCTGTCATAACGTCTATAGTCTGGTCATCATTGCTGTGTAATCTGTCATAACGTCTATAGTCTGGTCATCATTGCTGTGTAATCTGTCATAACGTCTATAGTCTGGTCATCATTGCTGTGTAATCTGTCATAACGTCTATAGTCTGGTCATCATTGCTGTGTAATCTGTCATAACGTCTATAGTCTGGTCATCATTGCTGTGTAATCTGTCATAACGTCTATAGTCTGGTCATCATTGCTGTGTAATCTGTCATAACGTCTATAGTCTGGTCATCATTGCTGTGTAATCTGTCATAACGTCTATAGTCTGGTCATCATTGCTGTGTAATCTGTCATAACGTCTATAGTCTGGTCATCATTGCTGTGTAATCTGTCATAACGTCTATAGTCTGGTCATCATTGCTGTGTAATCTGTCATAACGTCTATAGTCTGGTCATCATTGCTGTGTAATCTGTCATAACGTCTATAGTCTGGTCATCATTGCTGTGTAATCTGTCATAACGTCTATAGTCTGGTCATCATTGCTGTGTAATCTGTCATAACGTCTATAGTCTGGTCATCATTGCTGTGTAATCTGTCATAACGTCTATAGTCTGGTCATCATTGCTGTGTAATCTGTCATAACGTCTATAGTCTGGTCATCATTGCTGTGTAATCTGTCATAACGTCTATAGTCTGGTCATCATTGCTGTGTAATCTGTCATAACGTCTATAGTCTGGTCATCATTGCTGTGTAATCTGTCATAACGTCTATAGTCTGGTCATCATTGCTGTGTAATCTGTCATAACGTCTATAGTCTGGTCATCATTGCTGTGTAATCTGTCATAACGTCTATAGTCTGGTCATCATTGCTGTGTAATCTGTCATAACGTCTATAGTCTGGTCATCATTGCTGTGTAATCTGTCATAACGTCTATAGTCTGGTCATCATTGCTGTGTAATCTGTCATAACGTCTATAGTCTGGTCATCATTGCTGTGTAATCTGTCATAACGTCTATAGTCTGGTCATCATTGCTGTGTAATCTGTCATAACGTCTATAGTCTGGTCATCATTGCTGTGTAATCTGTCATAACGTCTATAGTCTGGTCATCATTGCTGTGTAATCTGTCATAACGTCTATAGTCTGGTCATCATTGCTGTGTAATCTGTCATAACGTCTATAGTCTGGTCATCATTGCTGTGTAATCTGTCATAACGTCTATAGTCTGGTCATCATTGCTGTGTAATCTGTCATAACGTCTGTAGTCTGGTCATCATTGCTGTGTATTCTGTAGTAACGTCTATAGTCTGGTCATCATTGCTGTGTAATCTGTCATAACGTCTATAGTCTGGTCTTCATTGCTGTGTAATCTGTAGTAACGTCTGTAGTCTGGTCATCATTGCTGTGTATTCTGTAGTAACGTCTATAGTCTGGTAATCATTGCTGTGTAATCTGTCATAACGTCTATAGTCTGGTCATCATTACTGTGTAATCTGTCATATCGTTTGTAGTCTGGTCATCATTGCTGTGTAGTCTGTCATAAAGTCTGTAGTCTTGTCATCATTACTGTGTAATATGTCATAACTTCTATAGTCTGGTTATCATTGCTGTATAATCTGTAATACCGTCTATAGTCTTGTCATCATTGCTGTGTAATCTGTTATAACGTCTATAGTCTTGTCATCACTACTGTGTATTCTGTAATAACGTCTGCAGTCTTGTCATCATTACTGTGTAATCTGTTATACCGTCTGTAGTCTGGTCATCATTGCTGTGTAATCTGTTAAAACTCCTGTATTACTTTCCGGATGTGAAAAGTTACACCTAACGTTACAATCACATTTTAGGATCTGTAATGTACCACCTTACTCAGGAAGTGTACAATTTCTCCTGTTATATATATCACATAACAGGAATTTTGAATTTGCTCCTGTTTATATCACATAAAAAGAAGTGTAACCTTTCTTCTCCTGTATATATCACATAACAGGAAGTGTAAACTTTCCCGTCTGTTTATATCTCCTAAGAAGATGTTGAAACTTGCTCCTTCTGTTTATATCACATTACAGGAAGTGTAAACTTTCCCTTCTGTTTATATCACATTACGGGTAGTGTAAACTTTCCCGTCTGTTTATATCACATTACAGAAAGTGTAAACTTTCCCGTCTGTTTATATCACATTACAGGAAGTGTAAACTTTCCCGTCTGTCTATATCACATTACAGGAAGTGTAAACTTTCCCGTCTGTTTATATCACATTACAGGAAGTGTAAACTTTCCCGTCTGTTTATATCACATATCAGGAAGTGTAAACTTTCCCGTCTGTTTATATCACATAACAGGAAGTGTAAACTTGCTCCTTCTGTATATATAATATAACAGGAAGTGTAAACTTTCCCGTCTGGTTATATCACATATCAGGAAGTGTAAACTTTCCCGTCTGTTGATATCACATTACAGGAAGTGTAAACTTTCCCTTCTGTTTATATCACATAACAGGAAGTATAAACTTGCTCCTTCTGTATATATAATATAACAGGAAGTGTAAACTTTCCCTTCTGTTTATATCACATAACAAGATGTGTACAATTTCTCTTTCTGTTTATATCAGGAAGTGTAAAAAAAAATCTTCCTGTTTTATATCACATAACAAGAAGTGTTAACTTTCTACTTCTGTATATATCAGATAACAGGAAGTGTGAACTTTCTCACCTTGTATATATCACTTAACAGGAAGTGTCAAGTTTTACATCCTGTACTTACCTCATAACAAGAAGTGTTAAATTTCACATCATGTATATTTCACATAATAGGAAGTGTCAGGTTTCTCATCCTGTATTTATCACATAACAGGAAGTGTAAAAATACTCTTCCTGTATATAACACATAACTGGAAGCGTTAAGTTTCCCGTCTGTTTATATCTCCTCAAAAGATGTTTAAACTTGCTTCTCTTTCTGTTTATATCAGGAAGTGTAAAAAAAAATACTCTTCCTGTATATAACACATAACTGGAAGCGTTAAGTTTCCCGTCTGTTTATATCTCCTAAAAAAGATGCTTAAAATTGCTCCTTCTGTTTATATCACATAGCAGGAAGTGTAAACTTTCCCGTCTGTTTATATCTCCTAAAAAGATGCTTAAAATTGCTCCTTCTGTTTATATCACATAACAGGAAGTGTAAACTTTCCCGTCTGTTTATATCACATTACAGGAAGTGTAAACTTTCCCGTCTGTTTACATCACATTACAGGAAGTGTAAACTTTCCCGTCTGTTTATATCAAATTACAGGAACTTTAAACTTTCCCGTCTGGTTTTTTATCACATAACAGGAAGTGTAAACTTTCCCGTCTGTTTATATCACATTACAGGAAGTGTAAACTTTCCCGTTTGTTTATATCACATTACAGGAAGAGTAAACTTTCCCGTCTGTTTATATCACATTACAGGAAGTGTAAACCATCCCGTCTGTTTATATTACATTACAGGAAGTGTAAACTGTCCCGTCTGTTTACATAACATAACAGGAAGTGTAAACTTTCCCGTCTGTTTATATCTCCTAAAAAGATTTTTAAACTTGCTCCTTCTGTTTATATCACATAACAGGAAGTGTAAACTTGCTCCTTCTGTATATATCATATAACAGGAAGTGTAAACCTTCCCTTCTGTTTATATCACAAAACAAGATGTGTACACTTTCTCTTTCTGTTTATATCAGGAAGTGTAAAAAAAATCTTCCTGTTTTATATCACATAACAAGAAGTGTTAACTTTCTACTCCTGTATATATCAGATAACAGGAAGTGTGAACTTTCTCCTCTTGTATATATCACTTAACAGGAAGTGTCAAGTTTTACATCCTGTACTTACCTCATAACAAGAAGTGTTAAATTTCACATCATGTATATTTCACATAATAGGAAGTGTCAGGTTTCTCATCCTGTATTTATCACATAACAGGAAGTGTAAAAATACTCTTCCTGTATATAACACATAACTGGAAGTGTTAAGTTTCACATCCTGTATATAACACATAACTGGAAGCGTTAGAAAGTAGTGTTAAGGTTTTCCTCCTGTGTATATCACATCAGAGGAAGTGTACAATTACGCCTCCTGGTTATATTGCACTTCTGCATTATACACCTACCCTTTATGCATGTTATTGAGTGTGTTGCAGGTATAATATATACGCATTACACAATACACTATATAAATAAAGTTGTCTCACTTTATACCTGGATATGTTAACTTTTGTTTGAAAGGGAAACAAATTCAGCTGCACATTTCGAGTTGTATCTATTTGAGTTAAAGAAATCTGAACTTTTTCATTGTATTACAAATTTACTATGTTACCCTGCTCGGTATGTTAAAGCAAAACAATGAATAGATAATTGATTGAAAATATAATGTATACTAGTAAAGTTTTCCTTGCTTGTTACAGACCCCTTGCTTGTAACTTGACCATAACAGGTGGAGCTGATACAACCGTCGCAGTGGCGTTTCCAAGTACAAACCTTAATGCTACGGACACTGACAACAACATTGCTAAATTACTTAATGCTACCGGTAAAATCTGATAAAATGATAAAATGATGTTGATTGAAAATACACCATATTTATCTCCCTCTTTTAATTAAATATCTAGTTCTGTTTCCTATTGGAGTCTGTAGCGGATGTCTACTTTAGAATTAAAATCCGGTCGGATGTCATGTGACAATATTTCATATGACATCAACTTATTTTTTTCATAATCACAATAACGCCATTGAGTATAAATCACATGGATTTCACATTTATAACTTGTTTTTGAATGAAATACGGTAATTGATTTATCTCTTAACGACCAGGTTGGTTATACACCTCAAAAATGACATTGGTTTATAACAACATTGATCTTCACTCCTAAGACCTAACAGAGGGAGTGCCTAGTAAGGTGTAAGAACTCTCCAATCTTTTGACTATTAAATGTCAATAAAATATGTTTAAAAAAACTAGCAAAATGTATTGGCCTCTCCTCCACACAAACAATAATATCACTTGTCCTGCTCATTAAACTAAACCATTAAATCAACTTCCCCCTATTCCGATCCAACCTAAATGCCACAGTCCCCTTTTTCCGAACAAACAATCAGCAAAAAGAAGTCTCCTCCAAATAACCAATAAGTCAATATAACTCTATTAAACAGAAAAAAGCAAATGTCCGACTCTTTCCATGGATAGTCTACCTTCATGTTAGAGTAAATGTATCGTCATGTTATAGTAAATGTATATAGGTGTCTTAGCTTGATAGTCTATCTTCATGTTATAGTAAATGTATATACGTGTCTTACCTCGATAGTCTATTGTCATGGTATAGTAAATGTATATAGGCGTCTTAGCTTGATAGGCTATCTTCATGTTATAGTAACTGTATATACGTGTCTTACCTTGATAGTCTATTGTCATGTTATATTAAATGTATATACGTTTCTTACCTTGATAGTATATAGTCATGTTATACTCAATGTATAAACGTGTCTTACTTTGATAGTCTATAGTCATGGTATAGTAAATGTATATATGTGTCTTACTTTGATAGTCTATAGTCATGGTATAGTAAATGTATATACGTGTCTTAACTTGATAGTCTATAGTCGTGTTATAGTAAATGTCTATAGGTGTCTTAGCTTGATAGGCTATCTTCATGTTATAGTAACTGTATATACGTGTCTTTCCTTGATAGTCTATAGTCAAGTTATAGTAAATGTATATACGTGTCGTACCTTGATAGTCTACTTTGATAGTCTATAGTCATGTTATAGTAAATGTATATAAGTGTCTTACCTTTGATAGTCTACCTTCATGTTATACTCAATGTATATACGTGTCTTACCTTGATAGTCTATAGTCATGTTATACTCAATGTATATATGTGTCTTACTTTGATAGTCTATAGTCATGTTATAGTAAATGTATATACGTGTCTTACCTTTGATAGTCTATCTTCGTGTTATAGTAAATGTATATACGTGTCTTACCTTGATAGTCTATAGTCATGTTATAGTAAATGTATATACGTGTCTTACCTTTGACAGTCTATCTTCGTGTTATAGTAAATGTATATACGTGTCTTACCTCGATAGTCTACCTTCATGTTATAGTAAATGTATATACGTGTCTTTCCTTTGATAGTCTATCTTCGTGTTATAGTAAATGTATATACGTGTCTTACCTTGATAGATATACGTGTCTTACCTTTGATAGTCTATCTTCGTGTTATAGTAAATGTATATACGTGTCTTACCTTTGACAGTCTATCTTCGTGTTATAGTAAATGTATATACGTGTCTTACCTTTGATAGTCTACCTTCATGTTATAGTAAATGTTAAACGTGCCTTACCTTGATAGTCTATAGTCATGTTATAGTAAATGTATATACG